TATCACGTCTCGAGAAAGAGAGTAAATATTCCAGCACACTCTTACCTACTGGAGCTTTGCCTAAACCGAGAAATAGTGATAATTTGGATTCAGCTGCAGGTATGTTGCGCATTGCTGCAAATAAAGTCAATTTACAATGTTAACACCGAGCATTTCTTGCATTTAGAGACTCAACCTCTTTTTTGAAGGCTTTTAATTCAGCAGGGCTTATTTACAGTATTCAAGCAATAGTTACAATTAAATAAATTAATATGGTATGCTTCCTACTTCTTACATATAACCCCGATTTATGTACCTATATGAAGATAATTGGTTATACTTTTCGAGAACACTGTATATTAAGAAGCCGCGGTACTTGTCTTCTCATCCATTACGGGAAGCGGCAGCGATGTTTAACCGACCGGCTGGCACACAAACTGATTAAAGTTTTCCTATTTTGAAAAATTGAACAAGAGCCTATTGATGGTGAACCACAAAAGTTGGGAAGCCCGCTCGGATGGTTTTATGTAATTGCCAAAGTGTAAGGGTTTGGTCCAATACGTAGTATAATAGAATTTGTTCAAACTTGGTGATCGTTAGATGAATGTGATCTGGCTTAACCTATTACGATTCAATGCGGGCAACCTTGCGATGTTGGCTCCTACGTTTACCAATTTCACAGCAATTGCAGCGAGTTTTTTGATAACATAGGTGTGTATATTAAAGTATACATGTTACAACTTTTATAATTAACTGTTAGTACAATTAGTCTTAATCCAAAAAGAAAAACATATAAAGGCAGCTTGTGAAAAAGACAAGCCTATACTATAGTTCATAATAACATAAAACAGCGAATTAAATGCTCGAAGGCAAAGATGGGGCTGTCAAATATAAAAACTTTCTCTTAAAGAATATTATAATAAGACATCATCAAACATTTTATAACAAACTATATACATATAAGTTAGAAGTTCCTAGGCTTTTTGCGATTCGGTAACAGCGGTACCTCGGCATTCTGATTTGAAACGGAAGATGCCACCGTGAATTCTTCGTCGGCCAGTTCATCATTCTCGTTATAAGAAGCCGCTCCGCGTTTAAGAGAAGAAGACATGGTGTGCGTGCGTGCCTGACACTTTTTTAGAGCATTAACCAACTCTGCGACAAGAATGGGCTTTGCTACGTAATCGTCACAGCCTGCTTTAAGACATTCATCTTTATCGCCGTGCATAGCTGTCAAAAACAATGTACATGCTCTCGTAAGTTAAAGTCGCTAGGAAATTAAACAAACATTTGACGGCTCACCATTCGCTGTCATTGCTATGATCCGCGGCCTTTCATGTTTATCGTAGGCAGCGCAAATCGTTCGAGTAGCTGTTAATCCATCCATTTTGGGCATATTTACATCCATCAGGCATACTAATAATAAATATGGTTTCAGTATAAATATCCAATTGATGCAAAGATGCAGATAATTAACTAAATAAGCAAACAAACAATACACAAACACACAAAACAAACAAACAAACAAGCAAAATGACAGTTAATTTCATATGCTTACCATCATATTTATGCTTCTCAATGGCGTTTATTGCTTCAATTCCGTTGTCAACAACGTCAGCTTCATAACCCATCAATCTCAATATTTCCACCGCAACTTTCCGATTAACCACGTTATCCTCCGCGACCAAAATTTTCAGTGGGTGGTCTTTTGCTATATTTGGGTTCATGTGCTTTATAGAAACTTTTTCGGATGAGTTAGTGGGAGTTCCTGGAGACGTTATTAAGGCGCCAACACTAGGATAAAGCTCTCTTATAGCGTTGTATAATCGGTTCCTCTTTACTGGTTTTCGCACAAAAGTTTTGATTTTAAGTTTCGAAAACGCTTCAATATTCATATTGAATCCGATATTTGCCGCCACTAAAATGTTGACGTTTGGTTCAAATTTTCGTATCAGCGAAATAGCAGCCAGCAATTCCATGTCGGGCAGGCTACAGTCGAGAATAATCAGGTCGAATGTTTTTCGCTTTTTGGAAATAATACTCTCAAGCTCTCTTGCTGTACTTATTGTCTCGGCGTTAATTCGAAAAGCTTTCATGTGCTGCATCAATGCCTCCCTTCCAGCTGCATGATTATACACTATGAGGCATTTCTTGTTCTGGAGATCAGCAGCCTCGTATGTGTTGGTCGTCTCGGGTGAGTCTACCGTTTTCGTTGGTATTGTAAAATAAAAGGTTGATCCCATTCCGACGGTGCTGTCCATCCATATGCGGCCTCCCATAATTTGGCACAGTCGCTCTGAGATAGCGAGGCCCAATCCCGTCCCAACGTGAAATCGAGCTGCAGAGTCTTCTACTTGAGAAAATGCTTTGAATAACTAATAACGGTAGAATGCATATAGAGCGCGAGTTGAATTGTCAATCTCGACTGCAATTATACTTGGTTTTTGTACACTATAATCACGCCTTACCCTATCAAACTTTTCTTTGGGTATTCCTTTGCCAGAGTCAGCTACTGATACCAACAACTCATGAGACGGTTTAAAATGGTCACTGCCTTCGCCGTCTTCGGTTTCGCCAGGTTTAGCTATTCTTCTCAGATTCGCTGTAATGACTACTTGACCAACGCGCGTGAACCTGTTTAGAAAGAAAGATACACAATTACTATTTACACTTTATTAGCCGTTATTATTGACAACTCTGGCTTTTTTACGGGCGATTGGAGTCACTATTAATTAACCATTCATAATAGATTGCGAACAATTCTCCAGCTAATCCGGCGATATATAGTTGCATGGCAAAATCATGGCAGAGACTACTAGATATGGACATCAAGATAGGAATAGTCGCTTTATTTACTAACTTGACAGCATTACTCAGCACTGTCGATAAAGAAAAAAGAGGGTTTAGTATACTGTTGATGCGGTTAAACACATTCGCATCGAGAGGATGTACTTACAATTCAGCACAATCTGGCGTAATCGTATCAAATCCCCGATAATCTGTTGAAAGAAACTTTATCGGTAAATTAGGTGTTGCATTGTTGCTAAGCTCTTGTGTAATACTCACCATATCTTCTTCCGAGTCATTCAAGTATGCAAGCTCCAATCCTTTTGTCATTGCCTTCTCGGCAACAATACCCAAGGCTCCCTCAATGCACTGACGAAGAGAAAATGGCTCACTTTTGATATCTAACTTGCCACTCTCAATCTTGGAGAAATCTGAAAGTAGTAGAAAACCATAATTAATACAGCGGATATGAATATACACTTTAATGATTCAACATTCTAGTATTACCGAGAATGTCGTTAATAATAGTCAGCAACTCGCTGCTGCTTTCATTTATCGTCTCTACATAGTCTTGTTGAATAGGGGTCAAGCTTGTCTCGAGCAAAAGATTCGTCATGCCAATCACCTACAGGGTATTGGATATCGATTAGACAAAGCGGAATAGCTGTCATTAAATTCAACACACACCCGATACTCACCGCATTAAACGGAGTACGTATTTCTGTGTGTATAAAAAGTGAATATCATTAATAATGATGCTTTTCACTCTTCGCCTTTCAACGAAAGCAATATAACAACGCTCTTACCATGGCTCATAGTGGCCAAAAATGTGCTCTTCATCTCTGTTGCCGCTTCTGCCACCTCCTTGGCCTTTTTTAATTCAATTTCTGCCTGTTCCCTCTCCTTTACCTCTTGCCTCAATTGTAAATTCTTTGTTTGTAGCTCAAGTGTTCGTGTCTCAACCTTCATTTCTAATGTTCTTGAATATTCTTCAATTTTTTCATGAGATCTCTTCAAGTTTATATTGGCTGTTTCTAAATCTTTATATAGCCTCGACTTTTCAATAGATATAGCGGCCTGGGAGAACAAAACTTTGAGAATTTCGAGTCTCTCTTGAGCAAAAGCATTATTAACAAGATTGTTCTCAAGATAGAGAATTCCGACTAGATTTCTTTGATTTTGAATGGCTGTACATAGAAGAGATTTTGGCTGCTTTTTACATATATAAGGATCCTTTTTAAATATACAATTAGTGCTATCAGTAATTACGGGATCCCTTGTACGTGCAACATAGTTGATGACCGAAACAGGGAGTAATTCATGTTGGGTTTCGACCAGAACCGCATCTTTAGCCTGTACTTCAATTTAACTTATATCACCCCGGGCAACGACGCATAATGTACCATTGTTTTCTAATATTAATATAGCATATTCGGCACCTGATAAAGTATGAATAAATAGCAAGATGTGAATCATAAAGTAACGCGTCACGACGACTCACAAGGCATATTTTCCTTACCGGCTGCCTGAACAAGTATTCTTATCAATTTTGTCAAAAGATTTTCAAGAACGAGTTCCTCTGATATGATTAAAGAAGCTCGCATAGCGGTCATCAAATCTAACCCAGATCCAGACTGTTGAGCAGACGAATGATTGTCGGTCAGACTCGGTATCAAAGACGTGTTATTACTGATTATACTCGACCCATTCTCTGGAGATGCGTTTGTTGACGAATGTGCTGGAAGAATGATATCGGTTTGAAGATTCTCGACATGATTATTGGGAAGAGATACTGTCGATATGCCAAAAACGGCTGTGAAAACATCTGCATAACATTCTCTCATGTGACTCAGTTTCCGAAACGCTCCCCATTGAGAGTAACATTGATATGCATCGTGGAGATACTCGGCTGCAACTCGCTTTTTCCGTCTATGTAAGTAAAACTTGGCACAAGCTTCATTGAACAGACCAGCCTCGTGTATAAACCCGTGTTCTTTCGAAAGATTAATAGATTCATCATATAAATCCATTGCCTCGGAATGATTGCCTTGTACCCTTGCGTATTCCGCTTGCAAGAACACGTGCTTGTTTTTAAACGTAGACGGCATGAGATTTGCCCAGTCTTCAAATTGATCTATTTGGCCCTTGATTACGTTAAATTCCTCCTCAAGTATTTCGCCATTTGTCTTGTTCAATACGGCGTACGCAGTATAGAATTGATGTGCTGCACCAGACCATGAGCTCATGGCCATCCCATTATACATTTCTGCCGTTTTACTGCTTCGTATAGCCTGTAGGAGAATTTCGTCGAGTGATGCTTAGAAAAATGCTGAATATAAAGTTTCGTTGAAAACGCAGTCAGACGAGCAAAAGCATCCTTTCCCCCGTTTCGTTACCTCATCTGGCCGTCCAAATAACAAGAAAAAAAATGCCTTTACAAGATTTAAATAAAATAAAAGCGACGGAGACGCATTCCCTTCTTCGGAAAAGAATTCACCATCCAACTTTGTCGGATCATTTTCGTCCGAGCTGGTTATATTAAGAATAATCTGATAGCCCATGTTAAAGGATAAGTTACACGATCCATGTCTTAATTTAGTTGTCTGTTTACGATAAATGTCAAAATTTTGTGAGAGGCTTTCTAATGACTCTCCCGCAAACAATGCGAAAAAACAATAGTCCGTGCTGCCGAAATAGAGTATCACCATTAGCTCACAATTTTGATAACGCGACTGTAAACGACACTTGTTCATACTAACCATCCGTAAACTAAAATCGAGAATATGTTAGAGATTTAACAATTGACTGGTGAAACAACATCAACGAGGCACGCAAACGTAGAAATGCCGAACAAAATTACCAGTATATTCCAAATTGAATGCTGCTAAACCAAGACGAATAGCAGTGTTGAAACTCGTTATACAATTTCTGTTAAGCAAAAAACAAAAAGTCAAACCGGGATGCTGTCGATTTAAATTACACAAGTTTGACAGGACAATTATTTACCTGGGCGGCTCCATCCAGCATTGAATATGATTTGCAAATGTCTGGAAAAAAAAAACGCGTTAGTTATCCGATTATACACCGGCTTACCTTACCACCCAATCATGGACACATATTCTTACCATGAAAACTGCACAATTAAGAGGATTGTCAACCTCTTGCGCTCTCTGAATAGCCAACTTGCCGTATGCATATCCAGTTTCATAGTCTTTGAACTGCCTAACCAAAATAAATCCATACAGACAATATACGTATGCACTTGAAGGAAAATTGCCCTTACGAACTGCTATAACGACAAGGGTCACAATGATCGGGAAAAGCATATTGTCCAATGCAAAGTATGCTGGGGGAGTTAGTGTTAATAACATGTCCACCGCTGCTAGTTCGAGTGAGCTCAGGGACGTCTGTCGGGAGCCGAGATTCTAGCAAGTAATTCAACATTTCAGAATCTAAATCACGAGTAGCCTAGCAAAGGAAAACAAACAACCATCACCGTATGCAACTTACTGCAATCTCGTCGATCGTAAGCCCCATCAACTCTTCTCGCATCTTGCAGCAGTATTTTTCGATTTCTTTTTTCTCTTTTGGAATCGGATATCCGTACAATTCAAGCGCATACAGACCGCAATCGATGGCAGTCACAAATTCCCCTTTTCCATTGTAACACTTTACTTGCTTATCAACCATTCTTGACTTGTCTAACGGTGTCTTTGCATACGCAAGAGTGTGCTCGATCAGGCGTAACGTCTCGTCATGATCACCGTTAGAATACAAAGCTTCAATAAGGGCATTATGCAAGTTCAACGTGAGCTCATATTTTTCCTTCCAGCCATCCTCGCCCAAAAGTTCTTTTCCAATGTTTAGGTACTTGATAGCATTATCGAATGCGGTGCTGTCTGATGCTTTTCGGCCCGCTCTCCAGTTGAGCATGGCCAGTTCGTAATGATATGATTTGGGCTGAGAAGGTTCAATTGCCTGGTTCAGTTGGTTTACAATGTCAAAGATTTCGTCGTCCAGATCTTCTTCGCGCGTGCATTTTAAGAGACATCGACCGATGTTCATGTGTGTTTCGGAACGCTTTTCTGGTGGAATTAACGTGTAGGCTGCTTGCTGGACGCGATCATGGAGAAAGCTGATGTGTTTTGTGGGGAATGATAAAGCGTTAATAATATGTCTTAACAGTGTTCCTAATATGTCTTTTTCTATTAGATCGAAGCGCGCTGTACAATTATATTTACCGATAAGAGGTAGTAGACGAATCCTTTTGCTCTTCAGTATCTTCACACGTATTACAAACTAATGAACATTTGTAGTCTTGTGTCCCTGGCAGAACAAACCCTTGTTGTAATACCACCCACAAGTCTTGAGCTACTTCCGTGACAGATTTTTCTAGTATGGCCGAAAGTATATTGGACGTGAATTTCTTATTACCAAGACAAGCAGCTATTTTGAGAACGTTCTGAGTGGCTGGTGAGAGCTTTTGAATTTGTCCGACAAGGAGGTCAACGATATTTGGTGCAATCTCTTTTTCTCTTATAGCGGTTATTGACCATTCCCATTGTTTTGTCTCGAAGCTAAATCGAAGGAAATTTTCCTGGTAAAGAGATTTCAGCAGCTGTAACAAAAAAAAAAAAAGAACAAAATTTTTCTTAGTGGTTTTTAATTTTTCTTTTGTAACATTCATGACTTGGACACTCCTGAACCAATAAACGTGATGGTTGATGCCAAACCTGAATTACAAAGAAAGGATTCCCTTGAGTCTTTGAATAAACTATCTCGCTTAGTTCAGTTACGTTGCGTTCAGGTGAATTGTAACCCAGGGTCTCTCGAATCAATTCTTCGACGAAATTCAAACCCAGCGGATGTAAATGGATCTCTGTGTAATTGTAAGTACGACGCGTAGAAATCTCTTGAGATAGCAGCAAACTATACTCGGAAGGCATCTCGTTGTCTCGATAGGCTCCAATAATCATCAACCGTTGTGAATCCGCGTTAGAGATTATATTCATTATTAAAGTCAATTCAGACGGTGTGCACCATTGCAAATCATCTGTTATAAAACAATCATATTATTAAACCTAAACATGATAAAAGATGACTCATCTTGTGCCTCTCTCACTTACCCAGGAAGATTACAAGTGGATGCTTTTCCGAACTAAATACTTTTACAAACCGCTGAAAGACTTTATTAAGTCTTGCCTCGCTCTCAGCAGGGCCTAATTTTGGTATAGATGGTTGCTCACCGATGACTTTCTCGGCGTCTGGTATGACATCAGTGAACACTTTACCCTCGTCACCGAGAGCAGCAATTATCTTGTGTTTCCAAACAGACAAAGATTCTGGTGATTCGCTAAGAATCTGCTTAATAAGACACTGAGAAGCTTGAATTAGAGAAAAGAAGGGAACATTACGATGGTACTGATCTGTCATTGGGGTTATGAGAGTGAAAGCGTTAATTGACAAAGTTTTGAGGTGACAAATTCCACGAAATCAATCCTCTTTTCTCTGCTCAGCTTACCAAACTTTCCCCATACAAAGTAACCTTTACTTTCAATAACAGGCCTCTGGATCTCAGCGACCAGTGACGATTTGCCGACACCAGAATACCCTCTAACAATAACAAATTCGGTAATCCCCTGTTCATTTACTCTCCTAAACGCCTCCATCAATTGTTCAACTTCTGTTTTTCGTCCATACAGCTTTTGTGATATGATAAACAGACTGTTACGATCCATTTCACCAGCAACAAAGTCATCCATTCCCTTTAGCTCTTCGTTTCCGTTCTTTAATTTATCCAACAATAGCTCCAAGTCAGCCTTGAGCCCATCAGCTGACTGATACCTGTCTTCAGCGGTTTTGTTCATGAGTTTTTGTACAATGCGCGAGAGGGGTATAGGGATTGAGCTGTTTAGCAAATGAGGGGGTTGAGATTGCTGAGCAATGTGTTGATGGACAAGCTCTAGTGGATCAGTGGCCGTGAATGGAAGGGCGTGGGTAAGAATTTCATAGAATATTACGCCAAGTGAGTAAAAATCGCATCTTTTATCGACCGAGCGGTTCTAATGAGACAGATAATGGGATTGGTGAATTAAAGATTATGCATAACGAGTCTGTCACGTTTGTGCAAAACAAATGTTTATTTGATAGGACAGAGAAGCATTCTCTTTTGCTGAACAAGTTGTATTCATTCAAGGAGAATCAGCTTACCATTCTACCAGTACGCTCGGGGGCAAGATATGCCAGATCTCTGCTTAATAGTATGGAATGAATGTTTCTCACATTCTTTTCTTCTCGTTCTAAACTCGAAGCATGAGAAAAGTTTGTAATTGATACATCAGCGGTTTCAGGATGTACCAGAATGCCACAATAAGGAGTCAAGTTTGTGTGTATTATCTTTGCATTGTGAATATTAGACAAGATTGATACGATGGCAATAGCAATCTCGAGAAATTCGCGTAAATCCAATGAATCAGATCGACGCTCTAGATATCGTTGTAGAGTGATGTAATCTGAATTAGGAAATACAAGGAATAGACCATGAGTTGGACAAGATTCGAGGGCAAGTGGATGTGATACACCGGAAATGTTTAGTCCTTTGAGTAGTTCCCACTCGTGACGTAGTTTGCGAGAGTTTTCGGAAGCGTTAGTGTTTATGCTCTTTAGTGTTACGCGTGCTCCGCGTTTTTCACTGAATGCAGAGTATATATAGAAATCAGAGGTCTCATGTATGAGAACGAAATCGGAATAGCCAGGGAGATTGAGGATTTGATCGAGTTTGACAGAGAAAGTTGGTTTGTGGACATTCGCATCGAGTAAATTCGTAGTATCTGTATTCATATTGTGGGCATTTTTGGTTTATTTTTTTTTTGGTGATGATGAAAAAAAAAATAATCTACTTTTCACAGTAGGGACAGTCTGTAGTATCAGGGGGGGGTATGTGGTCCGAGACTTTCTTTATGGGGGAAGGAAAGGAGAAAAAAACAAAAAGAAAAGAAGATATATTCGCTGGGACGTGTGACATTTAAATATGTTGAAAATATGTAATACAACAATTTAAGTTAGTCAGTTGGAAAGCTTGCCATGTTAGTATTGATGAACGCACGGGGTACATTTTAGTGTAAACCCCGAAAGATAGTAAATATCCTCGGGCTTCCCTAATAAATAAATGCTGTGTGCGTGCGACTTGCTAAATTGAGCTACTCCCCCTAATGTTATAAACTATTACGTAACATGGTACAATATTAGGTAATGCGCTTGGGCGACATGATTGTGTTGAGGCAATCAATCACTGGGCGATCGATTACGCAATCTAACTTTACAGTGGAATGAAGGGGGGGAGCAAGCATACGCGACGAGATTTCGACTGTAACTTTGGAACAGAAAGTCGAGATAAACAAAAAGTGGAGTAAAACGTTGCCGTTGCCATTAACTGCTCTGAGAGTTACCCCTCAATATTACAATTAATTAGGTTGTGCCACGCTGGCCACAATTTGTGCGCACAACCATAACTACGACAGGCTGGCATCTTATCGTCGTTCACATTACGGTTATGGTCTAACGTTTTGTTGGTGCTTGTTGTGTTAGCCTCCAACCCAGTAAATATACTAAAGGTTGCAGCAATACGTTTACATGTAATGTATTGTGTAAAAATACCAATTGTTATAACAGTATATCGAGAAGGCGTTTGATTATTGCAATAATTAATTGCAGCTATACGGTAGTGTGATGATTACGATCAGCATTAGTAATATTTCACACTCACCAGGAAAGCGGTAAAATATTGGTTATCACACTTGTGGAATAGTCTCTATCTTTATGTCAGCGAAATTTTCTTCCGTCTTGTCAATTCTCTGGAAAAGTCTCAATATCTAAACAGAATTTTAATTTATGCTGGCATAAAGCTGACACATAATGTGGCTACAAAGTATGCGCTCGCTCGCTTACGTTAATATATTTATGTTTTTAAAGCTAAACAACAAAAACTCTCTGATTAGTCTCACGTATTTATTCAGCGGGTTGATAACTTTTACAATAACCGCCGTGAGCGTTATCTGATAATTCGGAATGGGCTCTGCCAAACAACGACTCTTGCAAATTCGGTTGGTTCGACATCGTACAATTGAGACAATATTGCGTTTAGTATCGATAGTAAAATCCGAGATATGTAGTTGCATGACTAATCCATGTTTTTTGCATTCAAGACAGGAACTGCACTCTTGAGATAAACAGACAACTTATTAGTTTATTAGACTGTTAACCAATGTTATAGTACAGACACAATGTTTATATTTTAATTCCCAGCAACTTGATATTTGTTATCACTGTTACCCGTTTATCATGTTGGATGATAATCTAAGTAATCGATTTCCAAGGCTGGGACGAGTTAACACAATGTCGGGCACACAAAATTGACGATCGCAATCTGAATGGTTAAAGTCATTCACAACACATAAAGGGGGTAGCATACATTCAAAGGGAGAACCTTTATGCGCTCTCCTGATTATCTTTGGTTTTATGAGCAGTTGTGCATCTATTTTATCGATTAAGGCTAAAATTTGTTCTTTAGCAGTTTTTTTTTTTAATCCGAGAGCAGTCAATACGTTTACGTAAGTTGACCGTCAATGACTGTTCGCAGATCTGCCAGTCGAAGACGTTTCGGTTAATAGTTTTCGCCAAGTCCCGTCTCTACCATGTTTCGGGGTGCAAAATTTACGCCAACCCTGACAAAGACTATCATCGTCAAAGAATGTAATGTACGATTCGTAACTCCAAATGACGCTTCTTCATTGTCTTACGTACGACAATCTTCATAAGCGAGAATTTTTTCTTCTCATGGCTAACAGAGTAGAATTTGCGATCGAAACCTAATCAGTATTAGTCTCCTCTACCAAAAAGGAGCTCAATTAATGACTATTACTATGGATTTTTCTTTGTCTTCTTCTATATAAAAACTAACGGTACAAAAAACGCGGCGTTTGTCGAAATGTCGTATGACATTACATTCAATGAAAGATTAAATTAGGGAAACCGTGAATAAACCGTGAATAAACCGTGAATAAACTGTGAATAAACCGTGATAACTTTCGATCAGCACCAAATCATCTACTATAATTCGAAAACAAATAACTCATCTCGTCCAAATTTCTTGATAAAACTGCATTGTAAATTGTGATTACCTTGTATGGAAGTTCAAATGCGCCAGGCTACGATCCCCGAGCAGCCATGTGTAACATTTTGTATAAGCCCTCCATCGCCACAATTTATGGCAACCGTACTAAACAAATTAATACAAGCAGAGTCACGCTCATGGTCTTCTCTGCTTAGCCTGCAGACAAAGTGTTCGGGTGAAGCAAGATGCTAACGAACAAAACAAATGCGCGCCAATTTGTCAATAAAAAACGTTGGTCGCTGGGCTTCTCACAATTTTTTTCACCCACATATATAGTTACACAATTTGGTATGTTGTTGACGCCCTTTTAAACGTCTGTTTCATCAGTTCATACTAAACAAAGACAACTACAAGCACAGTGCGCACGTAAGCATGCTTTTATCTACAAAAAAGCTTAGATATGCTTACACCACAAAGATATGTAATCAGACTTGATGATAAATTAGTAAAACAAAAAGCTTGTTTTTTTTTTTCTAATAATCTTTATTGTCATTATGTAATATACATAGTATCATAAAAAGTTATTTATTGGGTATTTTAACAGTACAACCACATTTACAATGGAAAAACTTTTATCGAGCTGCAGATTATGTATTCTAACTCGTTGCTCTTCCGAAAACAATTATTGCTCACTTGTGTACGCGAATAGTGGAGAGGGAGAAAATCAACTAATTACCAAGTTGGCTCGACACTGAGTCAACCATTGTTATTACTTGTTGCAATTCTGTTTATAGTTAAACAGCCCTTGAACATACATAAAAACTTTTGTTTAGTGTATACCCGCAGTGATGTATTATACGTAATGGTGCGAGTATTTACACTTTATTGAAAATGGACTGGTAACTATTGATTTATCTGTCAGAATGCTTATTTAAGTATCTTATTAAAACAGTCTTCTTTTACAGTTTAATGAATCGTAATACAAAATTTGTTTCTTGCACGATGCTTTAATGTTTGCTTCAACTATTGAAAAGGCTATCTTGTTTTATTCATCATCATCTCACGGACGAACAATCTAGTTGCCTTTTTTCGTTTAGATTATTTATTCGTGCTCACGTACTAACAGAATTTACTCGTGGGATGCGGCTATAATAATCGTGGTTTGCAAACAATCTAGAAATAAAAAGGCTACTCTATAATAATTATAGCCTTCTCTTGGATTAGTTGCAGGTTCAAATTGAATATATGTACGTACGGTAACCTTCACGATTGATAATCCAATCTTATCACGGCATTCAGAAAAATACGTAGTATGGAAGTAACGCATTGTCTCGCGACGAATTAAATTGCCAGACGCAATACTTATTGAAAAAGCTAGAGAATATACTTTCACATCGATAAATAAATAAAATTATTATATCAAACATTCCTGAGTTTGTGGACTGTCACAATATAACACATTTTATGGCCTGTTCCGTGGAATTTGTTACATTGACTTTCACTGTGTGGTCAATGCATGGAGCCACTAGTGCAACGGCTATTGAACATTTAAGAAGCGCAAATTGTCGACATCTTTAGCTCATTTTAAGTCTTTTTAATATCGTTTATTCGTATAATTGTCTTTTTGAGTAGCTCTTTGTGTTTTAATAAAGCCTTGAATTGATCATTGTACTTATACAGTGGTCGTCATAATATCCGGAATCTGATCTCACAAACGAAAAATTTTATTTCATTGTTTTTATAGACTCAAATTTCGTATATAATGTTGCCAAACACGGTTACTAATTACGCACAAAATTTCAATAATCTATTTTCCCCCCTCCCGCTTAATTAGCTTTGCAACACGATTTGTCATACTATTCGCCAACATAATATCCCCAACACCGAATTAAAATTGAAAGCCTTTCTATTGCCATAACACTGAGCTTTATTTTATCCTACTGTACTCGACTTTTTCACAACTTCAACAATATAATTCGCACAATCTACTGTCATATTATGGCCGCAAATTACCAATGCTAAATAAAATAAAATCAAATGGTGGCGTTCTTTTTACTCTGCCCACCTGCATTATCACAAGTAATATTTAATACTTTCTACTGTTACAATTGCTTAATACCATGTTCAGGACCATTAGCATTTTGGTCGATAATTTTTGTCTTTGTTGAAAACTCCTACGCGTACTGAATATGCAAATAAAATGTACTTACGTAGGACAGAGATGATAAATTATACTTATATGTTGATCGAAATAAGGTACGTAAACGTTCTGCACTCAATCGTAACTGTAATGGACAGTAGCGTCAACACTATAAATAATCAGCTTTATCTCCTATTACGGCGTAATTATTATCTACCAATTTTCTTTGCCGTTCTGCTAATTTCGTATTTTCGTGGTAATAATTTCTTTCTTACGAGCATTATACTGTAGCCTGTTCAAAAAATATTGGCATGTGTCACATAATTTGTTCTTGGTCTTATGATTTGAATACAATGCGTTAATTGGTGCCATAACTTGCAAAATCCATTATATTATAACAATTTCAATGTGTTATCGTTTTCAAGACCTGCAGTAAAAGCACGATAGACTGACTTGTAATTCGTTTCGGCTGGAAATAGTGTAAGCAATTGAACATTTCGGTTGACGTTTCTACCAGGACTTGGTAGTTCATGTATTTCGGCGTAATTAAATTCTTGACAGCGGTAGCAGCTATATCGATGGTTTTCA